CTCCAGATAACGGACCTTTTTCATCTTTCAATCTGAGCTTTAGACATTTCTGTTCAGGAAATGGAGCGTTCCTGATTGGGGACTGGTGGCTTCTGGCCTGGCCCTGTGTAGCAGCTCCTCTGCCTTTGGGGTGTCTTTTATTTCGCTCAGTTTTGTTAATCACATAGTGTTAGTACGTTTTGTGGGGTCTATTATTATTGTAAAAGTAGTTTTTTGGGGGGGGGTATTATTCTGCTAGTTTCCTTGTGTCAGTTTTAATGTGTCTACTTTGTATATTGAAATTTAATTAGTATTTATTTCTGCTCTGCAATTAATTCAATCAATCAATCAGAATAGAGCTGGAAGGGACATTAGAGGTCTTCTCGTCCAATCCCCTGCTCAAGCAATCAGAATATACCATTTTAGGTAGGTGGCTGTCTCTTCTTTTCTTAAAACCCTCCAGTGATGGAAACACCTGCAACCCTGTTTGAGGAATTCTATAAGTTCTATAAAAGGAAACAGCCAGAAACCTCTGCTGATAATCAGAAACAAGTCATTAACCTTTATGAAGTTAACAATTTCCATATTTTTTTCTCTACACCTAAAGTTATAGTTAAGCAAAGCATGCTCCCAACAATAATTGGTAGGTGCCATTACAATTGTATCCCAAGGACTAACTGTACACTAGTTGGGGAATTTCACAACTTCTGCAAACAGAAACATCCAGAAATTACTGCTGATAATCAGAAATAGGTAGTTAGTCTATATCAAACTAATATTTTCCATATTTTTCTCTCCATCTTCAGATCTAATCCTGAGATCTGTTGACTAAAAAGAATCAAGCCAGAATTGAAGTACCGTATCTTCCGGCGTATAAGGCAACTTTCTAAGCCACAAAAACCTCAAAAGTTCGGGGTCGTCTTATACGCCGAGTCGTCTTATACGCCGGAAAATACGGGTATTCTATTTTATTCCTTTACACATGTGGTTTAGTATATTACTCATCAAGTTTTCTCTCCCCCCCCCTCGCTCAAAAATGGGTAGAGTGGCGGTGGGGAGAGCAATTAAACTCTAAGCTGTTTGTTTCAGCAATCCGTCCCCGCGGCTCACCTCTAGCAGGCGTGTGGTTTGCAGCTGCTTTTTGCTAACTTGAAGTCACAGGCTGGTAAATGCCTGTGGGTCTCAATCTGTCTCCTCGCTGCTTTGCACTTTCCGAGCTGGAGATCGGGGTGGGAGGGAAGGATTGGAGGGAGAGGGAGGAGGGAAAGGAGGCGTGTGTGTGTGTGTGTGTGCACGCATGCTTCTGGCAGGCGTGTGGTTTGCAGTGCTTTTTGCTCGCTGCTTTGCACTTTCCGAGCTGGAAATCTGGGTGGAAGGATTGGAGGGAGAGGGAGGAGGGAAAGGAGGCGCGCATGCGCGCGCATGTGCACACACACTTCTCGCTGCTTTGCACTTTCTGAGCTGGAAATTGGGGTGGGGGGAAGGATTGGAGGGAGAGGGAGGAGGGAAAGGAGGCGCGCGCACGCGCGTGTATGTATGTGCACACGCTTCTCGCTGCTTTGCACTTTCCGAGCTGGAAATCGGGGTGGGAGGGAAGGATTGGAGGGAGAGGGAGGAGGGAAAGGAGGCATGTGTGTGTGCGTGCATGTGTATATTTCAGAAAGATAGGCGGGGACCGAGAAAGTTGCAGTAAATACAAGCAGGGACTTGCCCGGCCCTTGCTCTTTCTATTGTTTGTTATCTTCCTCCTATCATCAGTTCCAGTTTGGTTGACAGCTTAAAAAACAAACAGCATGGCAGCTCCCATGGGTTTATTGTCTTATCCTTCCTTTCAGCTTTAGAGTGAATTAGGAAAAGTTTAATCCACTTGCACTGTTTTATGTTTATGTTTGATGACAGCCTTATGTTTATAAGTGACAGTTTTTCTGCTAAGTACCTGCATGTCATAAGCATTTGAATTAAAATTACCATATTGAAATCAAATCTGATGTTTTTTAATTTTTATTTGGTGTGCGTTGGAAGAGGGGTAGTCTTATTCGGTGAGTATTGCCCAAACTCTATATTTTAACTGGAAAAGTTGGGGGTCGTCTTATAAGCCCAGTCGTCTTATACGCCGGAAAATACGATAGTCAATTTCTCACCTATACTCTCAATGGAAAATCAGAAATGAAATTCAAGATTTCTCTAAACTCATCATTGTTTGCTTCATGTGCACTTCCTTGTGTGCAATAAGAGATGATTTACACCTGACGAATCGTTCACAGATTGGATATTTCAAATGTTTGTCCCCTGTGTAACTAATATTGATATCTTTTCCAAAATCTGGACACTTTTACAGTTTCTCTCCTGTATGCGTCCTATGACGTCTCACCAGGTTGAAATTCACATTGAAAGATTTCCCACAATCAGGACATTCAAAGGGTTTCTCTCCTGTGTGAGTCCTCTGGTGTTTCCCCAGGTGAAAATTTGCAATGAAACCTTTCACACAAACTGGAACTCATATGGCTTCTCTCCTTTTTGAATTCTGTGGTGGTTTACCAGGTTAGAACTTTTCTTGAAACCTTTCCCACAATCAGGACATTCAAAGTGCTTTTCTCCAGTGTGAGTCCTTTGGTGTATCACCAGGCTGGAATAGCGTATGAAAGATTTCCCACAGTCCGAACAAGAACTGAAACTTTTCCCACATTAAGGACATTCAAAGAGTTTCTCTCCTTTATGAGTCCTCTGGTGTATCACCAGGCTGGAATACCGTATGAAAGATTTCCCACAGTCCGAACATTTAAAGGGTTTCTCTCCTGTGTGAGTCCTCTGGTGTCTCACCAGGTTGGAACTGAAACGTTTCCCACAATCAGGACATTCAAAGGGTTTCTCTCCTGTGTGAGTCCTCTGGTGTATCACCAGGCTGGAATAGCGTATGAAAGATTTCCCACAATCAGGACATTCAAAGGGTTTCTCTCCTGTGTGAGTCTTCTGGTGTATCACCAGGCTGGAATTCTGACTGAAACTTTTCCCACAATCAGGACATTCAAAGGGTTTCTCTCCTGTGTGAGTTCTCTGGTGTATCACCAGGGTGGAATTGTGACTGAAACTTTTCCCACAATCAGAACATTCAAAGAGTTTCTCTCCTGTGTGAGTCCTCTGATGTCTTACCAGGTTGGAACCGAAACTGAAACGTTTCCCACAATCCAGACATTCAAAGGGTTTCTCTCCTGTGTGAGTCCTCTGATGTCTCAACAGACTGGAACTGAAACTGAAACGTTTCCCACAATCAGGACATTCAAAGGGTTTCTCTCCTGTGTGAGTCCTCTGGTGTATAACCAGGATGGAATAGCGTATGAAAGATTTCCCACATTCAGGACATTCAAAGGTTTTCTTTCCTGTGTGAGTCATCTGATGTGTCACAAGGTGGGAATTCTGACTGAAAGTTTTCCCACAATCAGGACATTCAAAGGGTTTCTCTCCTGTGTGAGTCCTCTGGTGTGTCACCAGGTGGGAATTGCGAGTGAAACTTTTCCCACAAACTGGACATTCACAAGGTTTCTCTCCTGTGTGAGTCCTCTGGTGGTATACTAGTTCAGAATTTCTAATAAAACTTTTCCCACAAACTGAACACTCATATGGTTTCTCTCCTGTATGAGTCCTCTGGTGGTTCACTAGGTTGGAATATCCACTGAAACTTTTCCCACAGAGTGCACACTCATACGGTTTCTCTCCAGTGTGCGTCCTCTGGTGGCTCACCAGACTGGAATTATGTATGAAAGATTTCCCACACTCAGGACATTCAAAGGGTTTCTCTCCGGTGTGAGTCATCTGGTGTTTCTCCAGGTTGGAACTGACACTGAAACATTTCCCACAATCAGGACATTCAAAGGGTTTCTCTCCTGTGTGAGTCTTCTGGTGCTTCACCAGGCTGGAATTCTGACTGAAACTTTTCCCACAATCAGGACATTGAAAGGGTTTCTCTCCTGTGTGGGTCCTCTGATGTCTCACCAGGTTGTAATTCCGAGTGAAAGATTTCCCACAATCTGAACATTCAAAGGGTTTCTCTCCTGTGTGAGTCATCTGGTGTTTCACCAGATAGTAATTTACAGGGGAACTTTTTTTCACAAACTGGACACTCCTATGGTTTCTCTCCTGTGTGAATTATTTTGCTTGGTAAAGCATTTACCACATTGGGAGCACTTATAGGGCATCTGTCCTGTGTGGAAAGGAGATATTCTGACCAAAGATTTTGTTACATTAGTAGCATTTGTATGCCTTTATTCCAGTTTCGATCCTTTGTACATAATCACCTATACTTTTGCAATCCACTGATATGCTGGAGGAAGTAAAAAATGTGTGTGGTCCTTTGTTTAGTGGTTCTTTGATTTCACCTGTTTTTTTCCTCCCATTGGGAGTTCTGCATTTCTGTCTGCCCTATTTGAGTATCCAATTGACCTTTTCTTCCCCACAGACTTTCAGATATTTCCCTATTTTTCTGAACGGAAAAATGATCCCCTTCACCTTGTCACGTAATCTATCCTTGTGTTCCGCACACTCCACTATTTCCAGCCTGAAATTTCTTCTTGATTTTCTCTTGCCTTTCGCCTGTTGGGATGGGAGAATTGTGTAATTTTCTGAAGGAAATTGAAAATATTTTGATTTCTGGCTTGATTTGCTTTCCTTTTCAAAAGTTATTCTCACTTCTCCAGAGTGCTCTTATTGCCATCCTCTTTGTCTGTAAGATTCAAAGAAAAGTGTAAGTTTGTTTATACAATGCTTGCAGATGAAAAAAGGAAAAAAAATATACATTATATTTAAAAAGCAAACATACCACAATGCTAACCTCTTACATTAATTATGATTCATTGGACATTCCAGAGATCCAACTTCAGATATCCGTTCGATCAGGAAATTCTCCTCACTTGCATCAACCATAAATTCTAAGCACTGCTAAGGGTTATCATAAAATAAATCTGCATGTCTGAGGTATAGAGCATACAATTGTAGATGTATGGAAAAAGTAATATAAATACACATACCTATAATTATATCTATGTGGAAAATTCATGTTTTCAGCCTGAAAAAGAAAAGAAGATTACTATCAAATCTTCTGAGCTAATTTTTAGAGGTGTGGGGGCTTTAAATGATGAAATGATGCCTAAAGCCTCTGCAAGATTTGCACATGGAACTCCTTGACCACAAAGAAGGGCAAAAACTACTCTCCACAATCCCTCTGCTGAAATCCCAATTGAAGTACTCCTCATTTAATGACTGCAATTGGGACTGACATCTGTGTCATTAAGCGGCTCAAACATTAAGTATGATGTTAGCATGATAGTGCCAACATACATCTGTTCCTCTGCACTTGCTAAGCAAATCACCATGGTCGTTAAAGGCAATTTCACATGACTGTGGCTTGTAATTTCCTGCCAATATACCCATTAATTTTGCTTGTAAGAAGCTAGCTGAGAAGGTCACAGATGAGGATCATGAATGTGGGATACTGCAGCCACCATAAACAGGTAACAATTGGCAAAATCTGAATTGGTGCAACTCCCTTTTCCTGCATTTTCATAATCATAGGCCCAGAGAAGAAGTGGTAAATGAGGACTACTTATACAACTGAACATCCTTCTTCTGTAGCTATTCTTTCAGAAGTGCTGGCTTAAGCACAGCTGAACCTCATTAATACAAGTATGGGGTGCCAATAGGAAATACTGTGCGTGTTAGCTATAAATAGAAGTTAAAAAAATAAAAATCCCAGAAAAAATAGTGGCAGTTTCAGTCTGACATTGTTGCCAAGAAAACAACAGGTCTACAAGAGAATAATGAGAGTTGAAGGGACCTTGGACGTCTTCTAGTCCAATCCCCTGCTTAGGTAGGAAATCCTATATTATTCTTGACAAATGGCTGTCCAATCTCTTCTTAAAAACCTCCAGTGATGAAACACCCACAATGTCTGGAGGGAAGCTGTTTCATTAATTGTTCTCACTGACAGGAACTTTCTCCTAATTCTAGACTCCATCTGTTACTTCTTGTTCTGCTCTATGACACTTTGGCGCACAGGTCAATCCTCTCTTCTATGTGACAGCCCCTCCAATTTTGAAGGGGTGCCATCATCTAAACACAAACTCTCCATGTGGCATTTTAGTCCCACAACTGAAACCTCTGCAGCCCAAACAATAAACTGGCTCTTCTGCACACCAGTCTCTCTTCCACAAAAGGCCCTGCAGGCAGTTATTGGAGATCCCAGGCCTGTCCCTTGACCGGAAATTATCTTTCTGAATATTATCACAGAACCCCCTTGATCTCTTTGGAAAGCTGTTTGTAAAAAACAGTGGAAAGCTTCTTTTTCAGGGTAGATTATTCAGACCGTAAAAGAAATATTTAAATTGAAAACCTCCAGAAAGGCTGTTCACTGACATGGGCAGAGAGAAACAGGGATGCAGCAGTCACCAGAGAGGGAATCTGGGCAGGTAAGAGAGGCAGATTCAGAAGCTGCATCCCAAAGGAAGCCCACCTGGACAGGGCTGCCCATCGGCCAAGCCCACCTGGACGCCTCTCGGGTCTCCCTCGCCCGCCTTCCAGACGCCCCTGGCCTCCTCCTAGCAGGTTTCCCGCCCTCGCCTCCAGCCACGCTCCCTCGGAGCCCAGAGCTCCCCCGTCCTCTTTCCCTTCCTCCCCTCCAGGGACTGGGAGGCTGATCCTCCCCAGCGATGGGCAACGTCTGAACCGAGCAGCCCGACCTGCTCCCGGCTTCTCCTCCGACGCGCCCTCGACTCACCTTCCAGCTGCTGTTTCGACCCTGGGAAGAGCACAAAAGCCTCCCCGCACACCTCCTTCCTCCCCTGAGCGATCCGGAAGAGGAAGTTACTCTGATCTTCTCCTCGCCTTCCATCCTTTCTAGCAAAGCAGTACTCGATGGTTGCAGCTCCTCTTCCCTCCACCCCTGGAGATGCCGCTTTCTAGTCACAGATGCTGCCTATCTGACCGTCATCTCGCGATAGGAGGCAGGAAGTCACGCTTGTCCCGTCTCGGCGTTTGGCGTCTAGAGAGGTTTTCGCTGATTTATCTGCTCTCCGGTCGTTTCCGCCTCCCAGCGACCGTCCTTTGCAACTGAGCCAAGTGAAACAGCGAAAAGTGACGATGCTTCTTAGTTTGCAAAGATTAGCTCCAGGCTGAGCCCTAGAAGTGTGTGAAGTTCAAACAGAAATGCAGACTAAGAGTTGTAACTCTCCAAGCAAAGACTTTACTTACACCATTCTGGCCAAATGGCTGTCCGGTCTCCTCTCAAAAGCCTCCACGGATGGAGCACTCGCAACTTTTAGAGGGAAGCTGTTCCACGGACAAGAACCTTCCCCTTAATTCTCGGTTGGATCTTTTTTTGATAAGTCTCCCTTCGGTTACTTCTTTTACTGCTCTCAGGCACTTGGGGGAATAGGTTGACCCCCACTTAATGCGTTAGCCCCTCAAATACTGAAAGACTACTATCAGGTCACCCTTAGTCCTTCTCTGTGTCAAATTAGACACAACCGATCATCTGATGTTTTAGCATTCAGTCCACTAAATATCTTTGTTGCTCTTTTTTGCACTCTAGTTTCTAGAGTCTCAACATCTTTTTTATCGTGCCCAAACCTGCATGCAGTATTTTAAGTGCAGCAGTAATCCATGTGATCTTGATACTATCCTTCTGGTGATGCAGAGCAGGACTGCACTCACTTTTTCTGCTGCTGCATGACATTGCTAGCTCATACTTAGGTGATTGTCCACTGGGAATCATAGATCCTCTCACAATTACTGCTGTTGCGAGATCTCCAACCTCTTCTATAGGTCTGTTTTTGGTTTTTCATGCCTAAGTGTAAAACCTCATTTTTTTCACCACTGAATTGCATTTTGCTCTAAAGGGCCCAGTGTTCCAGGTTTGGCTATTCCCCCCTTCTCTCCCGTCATCTTAATCACTTATGACGATATTGAAGAGTACTAGGCCTAAGAGAGAGCCTTGGGGTACCCCGCTGCATGCTTCCCTCCACCTATATTTAGTTCCATTGCAGATGACATGTTGAGTGCTGCTGGTCAGCCAGTTGTGATTCCATCTGGTGATGCTGCTATCATCTATCTCATATTTTTTATCATACCAAGAATGATTTTCTTTTGTACTTGTTTGGATGTCGAGCCCCTAAATGATTGCCAAATTCACCCTATAAACATAATAATGAAATACTGTACAAACCTGGAAGCAGGCTACCATATTGGTCCCCATCCACACCTAGTCAGGAGATACAGGCCATCCTCGACTTACAACTATTTGTTTAGTGACCGTTTATGCTGAAATGCATTCAGTCTTAGCTCCACAAGACCATCTGGAACAGCAAGGAACCAGCCCCTGCTGCGTCGGCCGCACTTCCTGGGTACATGATGGGAAGGTGTCACCCTTTGTGAGGAATGAAGAAATGCACCATTGCCTGGAAGTGGCCTGCAAATGGCTCTTGCCTACTTCACATATCCGGCTTGATGGGCTCTGCCCTGGTCCTTCCCCTTTGTGCCAGAGACCCTCAGGTTAGTCACACTCCTGCCCAGGCCCCCACTGGCACACTTTACGTGAATGATGTAGAGCTGGCCACACCCATTCCATCCATGCCCACCCAGTAGGCCGCACCCACCCTGGCCATACCCACCTCAGGGGCAACCACAATGCTGATGCGGCCCTCAATGAAATTGAGTTTGACACCCCTGCCCTAAATGATTGCCAACTTCATCCTGTAAATAAAATAATAAAATATGGTACAAACCTGGAAGCAGGGTACCATATTGGTCCCCATCCATACCTGTCAGGAGATACAGGTAATCCTCGACTTACAACTTTTTTTTTAGTGACTGTTTGAAGTTATAATTGCCATGAAAAACGTGACCTATGGCCATTTTTCATTCTTACAACTGTTGCAGCATCCCCCTGGTCATGTGATAAAACTCAGATATTTGGCAGCTGCCATGTATTTATGACAGTTGTAGTGTCAAGTGACCACCTTTTGCAACCTTCTTGCAAGCAAAACTAATGGGGAAGCCACATTCACTCAACAACTCTGCGAAAAATTTCATAAAATGGGGCAAAACTCACTTAACAACTGTCTTGCTTAGCAATGGAAATTTTGGCTCAGTTGTGGTTGTATGTGAAGGACTCCCTGTAATACCTTTTTGTCTTCATTCTTGCAGAGCCTAAATCTTGCTAGAGGGCAGAATTACTCTGAGCAGACTTCCCAATTTTCAGAGGAATTAGATTGTTCCCAGGAGGCACCTTGGGCAAAACCCTTGGATGGCGCGAGTTAGCAGAAAGCCGATTTAAAGATTCCTGCTCTTTCTTAGGGGTGACTCTCAGTGGAGATGAAAACCTCTCTACACCCCAAAACTTTATGACTGATATTCCTGTAGCTCTGAAGGATTTAGGACAGGGCAGCACCATCAGGTGAGACACTATAGGAGAGCTTTCTTCACTCCTGCCGGCCAGGGCTGCATCCAACAGCACCCACCATGAAGCTTCATTTCTTTTTTTTCTTTTTTTTTATTATAAATTTTTACAATTTTACAATAAAAAACCCCTTCCCCAATCCCTCCCAACCCTCTCCAAAACCCTCCCCCCTTCTTCCCAGAGCTGAATACAGGGTTAACTAGAACTTAAAAGGAAAAACTTTTAAACTCAAATAAACCTCAAACAAATATAATTACATTCAATAAACGAATTATTAAATACTTTAACTCCATTATGTATGAAAAACAGAAAGAGAAAAAGAAGAAAGAAAAGAAAAAAAAGAAGAAAAAGAAAAGAAAAAAAACCTTCTTCCAATACTATCCTATTAACAACCATACCACTATAATTAAATTTAACATTAAAATAATTTCTTTGTCATTACAATCCTACCAATTTACCATTATAATTTATTTTATCTATAATTCACAACTTCTGTTTCTTTCACAATTAATAAACCAATCATCTCGCTAACTTAATAACATTACAAAATATCATATTTCATATAAAGTAAATTAATTGGACTCTAGTCCGCCATTAAAATATTATAAACTTTAAGTATAAATTTAAGTATAAATTATTCAGAAAGCTAAACAATATTTTCTAATATCATACTTATATTATATAAAGTTTATCCATCTTTCTTTGTCATCACAATCAACACACATATAAGCGTTACTTATACCATTGAAATTCCCTTATACATATTTAAAACAAAATATTCCTTTAAATGCTCCTTAAGTTTCTAAGCATGTACTTCTTATCTAAAGTTTTCATTCAGTCTCCATAATCTTCTCTCCTCTTTTCCAATAACCATTTCCATCCGCAATAAGCTATAATCTGTCAATAACCTTGGAACAATCTTTACATTCTTTACCCATCTCTCTTATCCAATAACCTCGAGAAAGCTGCTTGAAGATCTGCCATTGAAGATTGCACCAAAGAACTCTTAGGTCTTGCTTCTCCCACAGACTCAGAAACAAATTCTTGTAATACTTCTTTAACCTCCTTTTTCTGTTGTTCCTTTTCCTTGCGTTTGTATACTGTCCGAGTCATTCTCTGCTCCTTCATCTCGACTTGTTGAGACCCCTCAGTCTGTAGTTTTCCAACTTTCATCAACACAGCTTCTTCAGACTGCTGTTCTACCTTCTTCTCTTCTGAAACTTTAAACATTATAGGTGGTGATGAGCGTGCTCCCAGGACCAAAGTATAAAACTCCTTTGCTTTAAAAACAGTATTAAGTCTGACGTATCCCCGCATAGCCTCCATTAGGTCACAGAGAGGGAAAAATATGCAGCAGGGCCTAGAAAATGGGACCTAAGTAAGAGGGATCGATTGTCTATATGTGGTAGAAGAAATGTTTCCAAACTACATTTTTAAAAAGAAAACAAAAGGGAAGAATAGAACATCCCACCAATGTGCATGGCCGACTGATCACCAGGCTAAACTTTTTAGAGGGACACCTTTCACTGCCATTTTTCATGCAGGTCTAATAAGGTATGGATGGTGATAGTGGCCATTTCAGCTATTGGCTCTGAGCTGTCTTGCATGGAGGAATCTGGAATAAAATATCCTCAGCGTATATATTTTTAAAAAATATTTTATTAAGTTTTATAAGGGTAATAAGTGAATAGGGTCAAAAAGGATAAAGCAAAGGGAAACATATAAAAAGGTTAGACCAAGGAAAGGGGGTAACACAAAAGTGGGATTAATCCCACAAAATAACATCGCTTCAGCAAGTAAACCAGTCCGGGTATACATATTAAATCTTAATAATTACTCTAGTATTAAACAACTTTTAATATAATCATATGAATAACAAATTAGTCAATATATCTCATTCATTTCACTAATTAACAATAATACTAATTAGTTATAACTTTAAAATAATAATATATTACATATTAATTATAGTTTGCTATATTGTTTAAAATCACAAATATGCAAAAAAGGAAAAAAAACAAGTTCATACAAGTAATCATGAAATATAAATACAAATTATCAATTATCTCTTTAAATTTCATAACCTTTTCTCATTCTATCGTATTTCTAACCAATAATAAAAATTTTCCCATGTTTAAAATAAAATAAATTCTTTTTCTTTCATTTCTAAAGTTAATCTATCCATTTCTGCACATTCAAATATTTTTGTTATTATAGTTAGATCAGATGGTAAGTTTTCATTTTTCCAAAATTGGGCAAATATTATTCTTGCAGCTGTCAACATGTGCAATATTAAATACTTGTTCTTTTTTCCATAATTCAAACCTAATATT